TGTGCTCTTAAATGTAATCTAGGTCCAGAGCAACCTCTGACCAGGCATCTCACCAATAAGGAGAAAAAGGAATAAGATGATTTTACTGAGAGTTGTTTATGTGCCAGGCACTGTGCCAGGCATTGTACCTGGCACCTTCACATATATCTCTCATTGAATCCCAGGTTCAGTTGAAAGGCAGTACAGTGCAATTACTAGCTATGTGATCTTGGGTGAGTAACTTGTGTCCATGAGATTCATGTAAAAAGAGTTAAAATCATTTTTACTTAATAGGGATGATATGATCAAGATATTCAACAGTGCCTATCACATAATAAGCTCTCAATGACTACTTGCTGGCTATTATCATTAATCATCACAGTAGACTTTAAAATAGGCTTTATGATGTCCATTTTGAAGTTATGGAATATAAGAGTTGGAGACTTAAAATAACCTCACAAGGTCAACTGTTAATATATAGAGGAACCAGAATTCAGTTCTGGGTTCATCTAACTCCAACCTCCTTGCTCTTTGCCCCAGTCATCTTCCAGAAAGCCAGTCCTCCCCTAGCTGATTGTTTTAGACACCATTTAGCACTCCTTATGAAAAAAGCACTTGCTCTCAGGGTCACTAATATAGTTAGTAGTTATGCCACTCAATAGAAATGTACTGTTGGCCTTTGAGGAGATGACAGCTGCTCACAGGACCTCTCCCCTCTGACTCAAAATCAACTAAGATATAGAATTGGACAGGAGTTAAAAAGGAATAAAAATATTGTATTTTTTTAACTGGTAAGATAAAGGGCACAGTTTAGATCCAAGACCAACAGAAGTTTCCTATTCTTTCTTTCCAAGCCCCAACTCTGGTGTTCACACACAGGGAAGATTCACACACATGTACCCAGCCCTGGATAGTTATCACGGGCAACAAGGGCATATGAGAGAGCCCAGAGGTATGGGAGTCAGTCTTGATGCAGATCCTGCCCATGGGGACACAGGGACAGAGAATGTCGCACTATCATCTGTCAGCAAGAGGTAGAAAGATGCTTCTTCCTGATGCTATCAGAAAGTGTTGGTACAATTCTATGAGCCAGAAGAAACATGGAAAGAGAGAAAATCTCTCCCCTACCATAACCCCAAATTCCCAATACATATGCTCATCAACCACTTACAACCAATCCATCAATACAAAATAAAAGAAATCCCACCAGTACCCAGAAAAGAGCTGTTAGCCTCAAAATGAAAGTATCAGAAATGTTTTCCTTTCTTTCTACTCCATGTTTTTACTCTTCTCAGAGCTACTCTTCCTTCAAGTAGCTCCCACACTAACACGATTGGTAGTTTAAATGTCTCAAAGAACCAGCACAGACCACTGGGATCTGTATTCTCTCTTGGAAAAAAAAATCAAATGGACTGTAGAGAGTTTGGTGGAATTAATTCCACTGTGGAAAGAGAGGAGCCAAGCTGCTTCAGTCTCTTGGTTGTTAAGGTCACTGGAATCCGTGTTGGGAATTACTCCCCTGTAAATCACTTCTGCCCAGCTACTCTGTGGCCCTGAGTTGCAGATAATCCAGACAGTGATTGTGTCTGGTCTCTGAGCAGAAGCTTCACTGACCTTCCCTAAGAGTATTTTGATACCAGCTGTGGCTGCAGGAAGAGGCACAGGAGCCCAGCCCCATGACATGCCAGCTCTGTGACCACCTTGAAGCCAGGATTCAGCCTTTGCAGGTAAACATCCTGGGTAGAGAGGCCCCTGCTGAAAGTGTCGTCTCTGCCACAGGAGAGGCCCTCATTCCCCCAGGCTCAGCTCATATAGCACATGGGCAGGCAGGGCCTGTTTGAAGACTTGGCAGATGGGATAGGCGACTGCCAAGTGCACTCGACTCCCAGCTGTGAGGCTGGCCGGAGCCTATTTATAGGTTTTCCTTGGTTTTATACTTTTTATAATATATCATGCCAATTAGTCCATCATTGGCTACCAATTCATTCTGGTTGTGGGCAAATCACTTAATTTTGAGCTTTAGTTTCACACAGTCCTCAATTAAAGCCCTGTATGAACTACCTATTGATGAGTAAATTGCTTGATCACTCCAAACCTTTGTTTCTACACCAGTATATGGGGAACACTAATGTGTATTTTGCAAGGTTGTGATGAGGATTTAAAAGGTAACATATATAGCCCTAACTGGTTTGGCTCAGTGGATAGAGTGTCGGCCTGCGGACTCAAAGGTCCCAGGTTCGATTCCGGTCAAGGGCATGTACCTTGGTTGCGGGCACGTCCCCAGTGGGGAGTGTGCAGGAGGCAGCTGACGGATGTTTCTCTCTCATCGATGTTTCTAACTCTCTATCCCTCTCCCTTCCTCTCTGTAAAAAATCAATAATATATATATATTTTTAAAAGGTAACATATATAAAGTGCACAGCAGACTATCTGATTATATTAGTTTCTGATGGGTTATCTGCCCAGCTGTGTCCATCACTGTGCACCATCTCTGCAGAGAAGTTCCCCTGTGTTTCCATCTGCATGGTCCAGGATACCATGGTTGCCAGGATACCTGAATCTAGTACAACTCTGAGGTCCAGAGTGGAGGCACCTAACTGAAGGCAGGCCAGTATGAGTCCCTTCCCCCAAGATTCAGTATTGGATGGGGGCTGAGAGATGGGTCTCCCTCAGGACAGAGGACCCTAAACACCCATGAGCTCTGATGGAGACCATGCGCTCTGCAAGCAGCTGGAGAAGCTGGTCTTCAAATGAGGAGAAGAGTGGCACATATACAGAGAGGAGAAGAGCCAGAATTCAGCCAACTTTCCAGTCCCTGCCCCTAGTTCATCTCTGCCCTTGGGCTCCATGAACTCACACCCCAATAGCCTCATCATTAAGTTCCTTTCTTGTTAAATAAAGTTAGCTTGAGCTGGTTCTTGTTACATGCAATTGATAACAATCTTAATAATCTGGTAAACTGTTGTTATTCAATAAACAGCAAACACCAATTTGTGTAAAATGAGAGAAATGGACAAATAATGCTTGATTCTTCCCTATGCTCCTGCTCTCTGACTTGAAGCAATTATTTATTGGGAATCCCATCTTATTTATATCTCCTTCCGTAACAACTTAGACCCATACTTATCATTATTCAATAATTCATTCATTTGATAAACTGTCTCTATACAAGGGCAGGGACCATGACATGCCTCTATTTCTATGTATAGATGGCCACTCTCTCATCCCCGCCCCTTGGCCAAGACCTTGCCCAGACCAAGCTCTGCTGCAGCCACTTCCTGGATCCCAGCCCACGAGGTCCTGCACTGCCCTTCTGTCCCAGCCTGATGGCCCTTCTTTGGTTGACTCCAATCAAGGCAGCGCTCAGCAGCCCAGCCACAGCACCAAGAAAAGGGGACTTTTAAAAGGCAAGCTCCCTGGTGCTCACAATAAAAATAGCTGAAGTTCGGGTCCCACACTGAGCACTCCACAGGAATCATCTCATTTAATTCCCACCACAACCTCTGAGATTGGCATTGTTATTATCCACGTTTTACTGACAAAGAAGCTGAGGCACTGGGAGGGGAAGTAATTTATTCAAGGGCATGCAGCTAGGAAGTGGCAGAGCTAAATCCCAACCCACGCTGCGTCAACCGAGGTCCACGCGCTTTATCTCTTAACCAGACTAGACTGTAGCCTTCGAACTAGGCTTAGATTAGGTTATGTGCTGCACAGATGAAGCCATGTCTGAGTGGCGGCTGAGAGAGTTCAGAGAAGGGATCCAGGATGGGCTCATAGAGCAATAACCAGAGGGGGTTGGGGGACAAGGAACAGCTGGACTTTGGCCCTGGAGAGTGGGTAGGGGACATGGTAGATAATGGACAGTTCAAAGGCCCAGAGGTGTAACTATGCACGGAGGGCTAGTTATAAAGGCAGATGACATCGGTAGCTTTAGCCAGTTCTGGGGACACAGGAAACCAGGAAAATAGTTGGGATTTGGTTTGTTCATTTGTAATAGGTTGGATTGTGTCCCCTCAAAAGATATGTGCAAGTCCTGATCCCCAGTACTTGTGAGTGTGACTTCATTTGGAAATATAGGCTTTGCAGATGAAATCAAGGTAAGATGAGTCCATACTTCATTAGCATGGGTCCTAATCAATGGGACTGGTGTCCTTACAGGAAGGAGGAAACTTAGACAAGGAGGCACAGGAAGAACAGCACCTGAAGATGGAGCAGAGACTGGAGCGATGCAGCAGCCAGCCATGGAGCACCAAGGACTGAGGGCCACCACCCGGAGTAGGAGAGCGCCTCCTGTAGGCTCTCAGAGGGTGACGCTCTGCTGTGCCTTCATCTCACTTCTAGCTTCTAGGGCTGAGACAATTTCTATAGTTTTAAGCCACATAGTTTGTGAAGCTTTATGTCAGCTTGTGAAATAATAGCAATATAGATACATATATAAATATAAACATATACATGTACATGTACATATACATATACATATACATATACATATACATATACCTCTGCCCCCAGTTCCTGGCACAGAGCTCCTAAAACTCTTGTAATTCCCTAGGTGATAAGAGTGCTCAGAGCATCTTTTGTCCTGTTATTTAGCCTTTGCCCCCTGGTTGCTGACACAGGACTCCTAAGTCCCTTGGAATTTCCTGGGCAATAGAGGCATCTTTTGTTCTAAAGGGGCAGCTCTCAGTGGGCTCCTGGATGGCTTCAGGATGGGAGCTGGTCACCAGGAAGACCAAGCCCTGATTAGAAGCTTGGAACTTTCCATCCCCATCCCCTGGAAGAGGAGAGAACTGAAGACTGCATTAACTATCAACCCTGCCTACGTGATAAAGCTTCTGTGAAATCCCAAAAGGGCTTCCGGGTTGCGGAAGGTGCTGGGATTGCCTCCTCCCCATGCCTCCCTTTCTGTATCTCTCCGCCTGGCTGCTCATCTGTAGCCTTTATTATACCTTTGTATTAAACTGCTAAACATAAGTAGTGGTTCTCCAAGTTCTAGGAGCCATTCTAGCAAATTATCAAACCCAAGGAGGGGATTACAGGAACCCCAATATATAGCAGTCAGTCAGGACAGTGACAATGGGGACTTGTGTCTGAAGTGAGGGCGGTCTTGCAGGACTGAGCCCTCCACTTGTGGGATCTGACGCTCCCTTCAGATAAACAGAACCAGAGCTGAAGTGAGTTGTAGGACACCCCACCGGTATCAGAGAATTGCTCGATGTATGGAAAACCCACACCTCTGGCGTCAGAAGTGAAACTGTGGTGTGAGCCTAAATGAAACCATGTTGAGTTTTGCTTTAGACATAGCCCTGGGAAACGAGCAGTCATCATCAGAGGAACCTCCCAGAACTTGAGCAAGTCGGGGGTAAAGAGAGGGAAGTTGTATTTTAGCAAGCTCAAGCTTAAACGGTGGAAACTGCTGAGGCATCAAAAGAAAATGGGCTTTGAAGTAAAATTAGATTCAGTCCAGCCCTCGCTATGCTTTCTGCTTCACCCTGCAGACCAGGGGACAAATTCTATCCTCACTTCCATCCCCCCTTCCTCCCCCCACCTCCCAAATGGTCTGAAGGCTCTGAACACTCGGCCCTTTCTTCTCTACCTCAGTTTCCCCACCTGTAGAAATGGAGATGACAGTGCAGCCTGCTCCCTGCTCAGGGCCCCTCAGTCATCCCTTCTGTCCCCCCATCCCTTACACCACCTTTCTCCATGTTACTTTCCACCTGCTGGCCGAGTGTGTGCTGATTTGCTGGTTTCTGTGTATTTTGCTTCACTAGCATCCAGCTCCCAGAGGGCAACCATGTGATCTGTTCACTGGTACAGCACCACGCCCAGATTAGACCTCAAAACGTGGCAGGGGTCCGACAAATACTTGAAGAATATGGGACTAGTGTGGAGTGAAGATTAAATGAGATAATGTATGTAGTGCATCTATTCCATTGGAAGGACTTAGTATGTGCCAATCCTGTCCCTTATTCATCCCTGAACATGTCCGACATTTCACAGAGAAATGTTATGCATATGAGAGAGGGACATGTGTTCTGTGCTTTGGATGACACATATGTAAAGTCGAAGTGATCCCACCTCATATATCTATTTTAAAATTTTGTTCTGTTTTCCACTTATTTTAACTGGAAGATATACTTCACCTTTTAAAAAAATGTCCTTTATAAATGTATCTTTGGTGAACAATCAAAGTGGCCCAGGCCAAGGTCAAATGTTACTCTCACATGAGCAAGGTCCCTTCTCCCTGAAATGAACGCTATCTTCCTTCTTCATCTGGTGGGCATGAGGCTCACAGCCCCCCAGTTATAGCCAGGCTTGCTGCTATGCGATACATGTGTTTTTAAGAATCACCACGAAGCACACAATTGCAGAATGAAAACCACAGAGCTTATGGGAAAGATGGGGTTAGAGGCATAAACCCCATACTTAAAAGAAGAAGAAGAAGAAGACTCCCATAAAAATGGTAGCTCAATTTTACACCTGTAAAATGGTTTTAAAAATTCACAAATACTATGGTAAACATGGTACTTTATCTGAAAGTGTCCCAATGCTTGCCTGTGGAAATTGGCTCCAGAAAGGTTGCAGCTTGTGAGTTACTGTGACCTTGTGTAAGGAAGGTGATCTGGAATCCACAGAAAGTTGTAACAAAGGATGTGAATGGGTGTGGCTCAAAGCATGGTGAGTGAACTTAGGTAACAGAAGTGTTTAAGGTGTGTGGTATGCATTCTGTACATTTCTATGCTGCTTGGTTAGCCCTGTACTGTTGTTTGTGTGTGTTTTAATCCTCACCTGAGGATATGTTTATTTTCCTTTATTTCTTTTTACTGATTTGAGAGAGAGGAAGGAAGAGAGGGAGAGAGTGAATGATAGAGAAACATCAATGAGAGAGAGAAACATGGATCAGTTACCTCCTGTATGTATCCCAACTGGGGACTGAACCTGCAACCTGGGTATGTGCCTGACCGGGAATTGAACCTGCCACCTTTTGGTGCATGGGACAATGCTCCAACCAGCTGAGCCACACTGGCCAGGACTAGCTGTGTGCACTTTTCTGCATTCCCCCAGTGTTTCTCCCAGGCTAAATCACACATGAGTAAACGTGAAATTTGTGGTATGCTCAAATTGTTCCCTACGACATCAATTGCATTGGAACAAATTTGCATTTCTGAAACAATCGCTATAGCAGAACTGACTGTCGATCCAAACTCACACAGGGAATATTCAATAGAGCTGGGCGTAGTTTATGCTCAACAATCCTGATCCGCCTGGCCATGTCTCACTTTCAGCCTGAGAGAAGACAGGGAAGGGGCAGCATCTGAGATGTGGTAAAAGTTTCATTAACCAGGAAGCAATTCAAAACCTCATATATTTAGAATTAGTGGGCTTCAACTTTTAGAAGAAGTCAATCACAAGAAACAAGCTGATATATGGAAGTTAGCCAAGTAAAATCAAGAATGCGTCCTGGAATGAGATTTACCCGTCCCCTGAGCCTTCCGCACCTGTGGTCGCGTGTAATAAAAGTTGGCATTTGGAATGGGGACTCTGAATCGTGATCCTGAATGCTTTCTGCATCACGAATCAAGAGTAAACAGTGCTCAGTGTGCAAACAGCTTAAGGAAGGAAAACAGACCAAAGCCTTTGAAAAGGAGGTTAACAAGAATAACCAAAACAAGGATTCTTATAATCCACTTAACCAGAAAACCCATTCCAGTTCCCAGAGGTTGGCCTGTTCAGGCCCACAGGAGTCGTGCCCTCCAAGCCTATAAGATGTACCACAGCTTAAAATTCTGGAGAAATTGCCTGGGTGGTTTAAGTTGTCCAGGATGACGCTGCCTCTCTGCTTCCTTCCACTAACCCTTGATCTCTTCCTGCTTCACCAAGCAGGATCGCACAGAGCAAGCAGAACAGCCAGTGGCTACAAATCTATATTGAGCAGATGAAGAATCAAAGGAAAATGTTATAGATGGAAAGATGGGTAGCTCTGAAGTGTAATAACCAGGCTTAGGGGATTGGAGTTTTATTTTATTTTGATAGAAGAACCTTAATGGGGCCCCTCGCCAGCTGTAAGAGCCATGATAATAGTGTAATGGAAATATTCTTTGAGCCTATGGCTTCTTTCAGCCAAGAAATGCATCCTCACCATCATCACCATCATCATCACCATCACTATCACCATCACCACCACCACTACCATCACCATCACCATCATGATTATCATTATCACCATCACTATTATCACCACCTCCAGCATCATCAATATCATTATCATCACCACCATCATTATCATCAACATCACCCCATGGATTTGACAGGCATCTATCAGACCCCATGCTGGAAACTGTAACAAATCAGCTGAGCACATGCTGTCCCTCAGAGGTATGCAGTACAAGGCAGAATGAAGAGTTCATTCATTCATTCATGTATCAATATAATAGAGGCCCAGTGCATGACATTCATGCACTGGCGGCAGAGGGGGGTGGTCTCTCAGCCCATCCAGTGCCCTCTCACACTCCGGGACCCCTTCAGGGATGTCCACCTGCCTCGGAGGCGGGAGAGGCTCCTGCCACTGCTGCTGGTCTTGCCAGCCGAGAGCCTGGCTTCTGGCTGAGCATTGTTCCCCCTGTGGGAGCGTACTGACCACCAGGCGGCAGCTCCTGCGTTGAGCATCTGCCTTCTGGTGACCAGTGCACATCAGAGTGACCAGTTGTTCTGCCTTTAGGTCTATTGGCATATTAGCCTTTTATTTTATAGGATTAATTCAAAGGTTCTTGGAACCCTACTCTGTATTAACCTGGTAGGTACAGACAGAATGAAAAAGACATAGCACCTGCACACAGGGAACACCCAGTCCAATGGCAAAGGAGAAACAAAGGACACGCATTATAATTTAAGTGCCATAAGAGAAAATTAGTTCAGATTCTTTTTTTTTAATTTTTGTAGTCAACACTTACAGGTTTATTTTAGTGCCTTCTTTTGTGTTATGCATATTTCCCTAACCCTTCAGAACAGCAGAATGATGTGCGGGGAGCTTGTCTATTAAATATACCAATTCCTGGGGCTTGCTCCCAGAAATTCTGGTGCTCAGGGGCTCTGCTTGGACCTGCTTATAAGAGCTCCCAGCTGAGTCTCACACAGCTGGCCTGGCTCCGGCTCTGGCGGGGCATCCCTTTTGGGAACCGTCCTTGGTGCTACTTTACTTAAACATCAAGTTTGGCTCCTTCACTCCATCTTGTATTACATTATGTGTGATATACGTCAGCTTCTTCCCCAGGAATGTAAGCTCCTTGATGGCAGGGTCCTCTCTCACTCATGTTTGCATCAGTGAATCAAGCTTTACATGTGTGTTCAGTGGGACGGCATTGCTTGCTGAGTGGGGTCAGGCTCTAGGGAGGTGCATGTTGTATGCACGTGTGTGTCTGAGATGTGAACCTTTGTTAAAAGCAAATCTCTGCATTTGCTGTGTCAGTGTGATTTACTGTAATGGAAGCCAGTGCAGCTTGAGCAGAGGTCTTGCCTTGAATTGGAGCGAGGTTATGGATGGGCAGAGCTGCCCAACACTTTCCTGAGAAATACTTCAGTGCCATCCTTAGCTAATGGGGCTCGTTTCACTTCCATGTAGAGGCCACTGTGATTTCTCCTGTGGAGTGGTACTCGCAGAGTACCCATTGGTCCAAGGTTCTAATTGCCCAAGAAAGCAATAGGTAATTATCCCCAGCCCCCTGTCACTCACCCCCACATCCAGTCCTCACCAAGACTGCCCAGCCTCTCTTCTCACTGTGACTTCAGTCTGTCTGCTTTGGTAAAGGCCCTTCCAGCTCTTGTAATAGCTGGTAACTGGCCTTTCTGCCTCCACTCTGGCCTCTCATGTTCCTGTTGCCCCAATGAAGCCAAACTGATCTTCCCAAAGTGCAAACCTGAAGCAGTCACTCCAATGATGCCCAACCCTCCTTGTCTCCAGGCCCAGTTCAGGGTCAGACCAGGCCTCACTCAGTGGCTCACAACCAAACACTCCTGGTGGGTCTGACACTGCCC